GATGGGACTACATCATAGTGCCTACAAGTCCCAGATTTAGAGTAAAAGTCGTAGGAAATGAGCCCTGTTAGGAGTTTCTAGTGAAGGGATTAAGCCAAGATGGTACCTAAAGGTAGACAAACCCTGGTCGAAGTTTGTGATGACAAAGCAAAGATAGGTGCTCCTTCTCCAAGCATACGCTTTTTTTTTTTTTTTTTTTTTACCATTGTTGATCCAATTTTGACATTGCTAAGGCAGGTCAGCCGGTCCAAGAGCTGTCAGCAACTAGCATAGATTCTTCCTACAGTAAGTCCTACAAGTCACAAATTACAATCTCCTTCTCTACCTTCCCCCAAATGTCACAACGGCACTTACATTTCTTCAGTTACTAACGTAGTAATGTGGAAGAGGAAAGAAGTCTTTTGCGCCAATGGATCAATAAAATAAGAATGCAAAAACTATCTTCTAGGGCTAAAATCCAACACAACAGACAGACTATCGATGATGAAAGGAAAAACAAATTAAATTATGTATTTTTAAATATCAGATCTTCTAGTAAATTAGTAGATGACTTTAAAGTAGATGACATTAATTCTCATTTAAAAAGCAAGCAAAAAATAACAGAACAAACATGCAAAACCCTCTAAGAACTCTGTGCTAATGAATGTTGTGACCTATGTATTACCAGTGCTGTAAAAATGGTAATAACATATGAGCAAGAAAATCAGTTAGTAGCAACAACATTTACCTACAAAATCAGAAATGGGGATAGAGGCAGGAAAACAGAGTGTAGATTCACAGGAGTATCTGTGAGTCAGCACTTTAGTTATTCTACTGTGCTCAATATTTTTCCCAATTTCTGTGGAAAACAGTACTTGCCTTTTCATACTCTTCTTGATTTTTCTATCTCAAATGCAAATAATTTTCCTAAAACAGTCTCTTGAGGTCTTCCTTCCAGCACTTCTGCAGCAGTGTGGTCAGAAAGGCAGTCTCTAGGGTGTGGCAGTCATTGCAGCCATGGCCATCTTGCAGCTTAGATAGCTCAATGGACCCTGATGTCCACATATTGGCTGCAATTCACTGACAGTCACAGGACTCCCTTTTCCTGTGATAACCACTCAAATGGATTTTCACAGAGCCTGGTAACTTTCTCAAAGTATAGTGGGATCTGCACATTCTCCTGAGGATGTCTTTTCTACTTAAATAAAGTTAAAGCATGGTCATTGTAAAGAATGAACCGTAACTTCATATTTTAACTAAATATTTCTATCTGATCCCCTAGCAATACCATACCTTCAGTTCCCAGGATCCATGTGTTCTTGAGTTACTGTTTCTAGAAAAGGAAATAATGCAATCCACTTATTAGAATTCAGATATTAAAATGGAACTTATCTAATAAGGATGACCCTTATGTTTTCTTTCTTTACTGAAATCATATGTAAAAATAACTGCTATGATTTTTAATAGAGCTTACCATCCACATAAAGAAGAAATAAAACTTGCATGTGGCTATACCTCCAGGTGAAAAGGCTACATAAATATTTCATTTGTTCTTGCCCTCACTGATTTTGTTTTACGTATTTGTTAAGAAGTTATTGAAAACTAAACTGCACCTAGAAATCAATAGATTTTTGGGTGCACCAAAAAAGTATTCATTTTAAAATAGGATTCACTTTAGGACTGCAAGAATGCTCTCATACATATACATGTATTTCTGCACCCTTTTGATTATTTTATTTCAGTTTTTTAGGCACTGATGATAATTACATCACTTTTATACTCCTTTGTCATTTAAAAAGAATGACACTTACCTATATATTTCTTTAGAGCTAAAATCTTTGATAATTTATTAACATAATTCACTTCAAAATAAATGTAAATAAAAAATAAAATTAGGTAGAAGCTTTGAATGGCATAAAGCAAATAATTACCATCCTTTCTAAACATACAAAAATATTTGCTAAGATGAAAAAGCTGGCCTGACATTTTTCATTTGTGACACTGCTTGTGTTTTCCAATTTCTTATTGCAGTTCGTATTTACTGATATTAAATTAGGGAAAGTAGGTGCTTAATTCTAAAAAACGCCCAATGTAAAAAGACTTGGAAACTTCTTGATGTCTTACTTTTACAAGACATCCAAGTGTCCAAGATACGGCATCTCTTCAGGTTAGTATACTGCAAAGTCAACGCCATTGACAACCCTAACAGAATCACTTAGGGAGCTTGTTGAAAAACCCACCCAAACCTGCAGAGTCAGTATACCTGTATCTTAAACCAACACCTGAGGTGATTCTTGTGGACACCGAAGCTTAAGAACCACTGCTTTAAACTATTCAAATCCTATCATTTCAGGCTCAGAGCCTTAAATAATGTTGGAAAGCTGCCCTTCACTGTTTGTGAGCGGCAAAGTTTATCACCACCTAGTGGTATAATCTCTTATTGCTATTTTCCATCGGTTCATTAATATTGAGTAGGTTCTGAATTAAAAGAGAATAAAATTCAGAGAAAGCTGAAATTTTAGAGTAATAATTTCCTTAGTATTTTGCATTAATTTTTTATCTAGTGTGGGATAAAAAAATTTTAAAAATAAACTTGAAAATAAAAGTACACCATACCATATGAATAAAATATTGTATATGTGCTAGAGGAATCTTCCCCAAAATATATTCCTTGGGCTACCAGTGCCCTGTCAGTAGTGTGCCTCTAAAAATACATATCACAGCACAAACTATGGTTCTCTTTTGGAGATATAGGGATGATGCTCATTAGCATATTTAAGGCTCTGAGAAGTTTCATGGTCAAAAAACCTGTGGAACTAATAACATTTCCTAAATATATTTGACCATGAAAATTTCTTTCCTAAAGAATATTTATTGACTTCTCTTAAGACATTAGTATTTCAAGGAACATAGTTTGAGACATGATGCTCTAGAAGCAGCAAATGTGATAGCTGCCTTCAGCATCTGTAATCTACCATAAAAGAACTGACAATGAATTTACAAGAAAGTTTTGATCAGGCTTTATTTTAAATGTTATTTATTATTTGAACCACATGTTTGAGAGAGAAATTTATTGACCTGTACTGTTTAGCAATTTTTTTAGAAGACATACATACCTAATAAAAACCCAATTATGTTAGCGATTTTATTAACTGACATATGCACAGCATCTAATATCAACATATCATGTTTTCATACCCAAAGTGCATTTGAGAAGTAAACATTTAGGCAAAGACATTAAGTGCTAGATTACTAAATGCTTTTTCTTAGGTTCTAGAATTTTCTCAATTTTAGAAAAATGTGACATTCTGCCTTTTAAAGTTTTAGGAATCAACTGCAAGAGTCAGGAAAGTAGGCATAAGGCTTAATAATTGAGAGGATTACGATTAAAGGCACAACAAAGCCAAAGTAACCATTGTTCACTGAGACCTGCGACTGGGAAAGAAAACATAGCAGAAGGTTGCACTACAGAAGCAAAGAAGTGTTTTGTAGGCAGAGAGCTGTTATACGAGTCTTTTTAGAATTTATATGAAGGACTCAAGAAAGGATGAGGCACTTCACTGAAACCACAACTGTTTGCTGGAACTGGCTGCCTGACCTTAAATACAGAATGGACAAATTGGGATTATTTAATCTGAATAAAAAATCTGGAGTGCAGGAGGGTAGCAGGATACCCACCATGTGAAAGATTCAACTTCTTCATATGGCCCAGTGAAATACTTAAGAGGAATAGGAGAAAATTGTAGGGAATCAGATTTTACGCCAATTATGAGGATTAACCAAAGATGCAATGGACTCAGGAGGTAGGGAGCTGCCTATACATTATTTAACTACCTGGAAGGAATATTTTTGGGGGAATTTAAGCATTACTTGAGTGATAGAGCCAGATAACCTATAGGCACAATTTAATTCCAATCCGTGAAAATGGAACTATGTGTGCAGTAAATGAGTCTGGGATGAATAAACGTATCTGTTGGTAATTAATCTTTAACTCTCCTCATTTAGGTTTTTCATTTCTAAAGACAGCATTTACTTACTTTTTAAAATATGCCCTTTGGCTCACAGAAAGATACTTGGTTCAATTCTCATTCAGTAAATCTTGCTTGGAAGATAAGACTAGAAATTTTCTTATCTAACTTTACTAAAATTACTGATTCAAAAAAAGGATTTTAACTTTTCACTGGAGAGATGTCTAAGTATGAAATACTCTATTATGCTTAGTGAATTTAATGCTTCACTACTTTCAGTTTAACTCAGGATATGAGAGGCATAATGAGGAAGTAATTAAACGATGTTTTAAAAACTGCATTTATAATGTCTTTTTTTAAGGTGCCAAGTTCCTGACTTAGATATACCTTTTTTGATACATATCATTCACCTCAAGAGCAGATAAAATTTTTTTCTTGGATTTTCAAAATATAAGCAGAGTAGGTTCCTAACTTTTAATCTTTTTTGAAAGGACTATTCTTTCTATCATAGTCTGTTTTGAAAACTGCTTACATGACATATTTTTATATTTATAAAGGGAAAACGTCTACTCCCTAAAGCCACTGACATTTATTTAAGCTTTATTATCAACGATAACTTAAAACAATTTTTTTCTTTATCATCACTGCTCTATAATTTTAAAAGATATTTACAAAATTAGCAACAAATTTTGGTATAACTGTAAAAATACAGTAAAAGAATATTTCCAATGATATGTCTTTCGGCTCTTGCCTTTGAGCCAGTGTAAGCAGCCAATCTGCATGTGTAGATTGAGTGGCAATTACCATATTTTATTGAATCTAAGATGCAACTGATTGAGGAAGCACCTTTATTTTATGTTCTACTAAGAAAGAAAAAAAGGTTGTCAATTACGTTATGGCACACAATTGATGTTAAGTTGTTTCAGATTTTAGAAGCATAAAAATATGAAAAAATGTGCATCTCAAAATCAATGAAAATATGTCATGTGGTCAAATTCTAAACACTGTCTATTAAATTTTTTCATTCTCATCTTTCACATAAATAAGGCATGATTTAGTTAAGCAAAGAAAACTTTATTTCTGCTACACATAACAACATGTTGCTCTAAGAAACAACTACCATATTAGTTTTAGCATTAATGTGTGGATTCAAAAATACAAGTCAACAATTCCTGCTCCCCAGACAAAACAATGTACACAGACTATCAGGTATATGAAAAAAAAAGCTGTCAACTGTCCACAGGGAGTGCGTCCAGTCACATTTTCAGTCAGTCAGCTGAGGATTATGTCATTATTTAGTCTTTGTTCTGTAGAAAGAACACAACACAAGTATGAAAATCATCACCTGAAAGGAAATAGCTGTTGTATATAGTATTCCTAAAATGTTAGGAACTCTTCCTTTATTTCAATATAACCAGTGTTATCTGTTTCCTTAATCACAGATGCCCCCAAATAAGCAAAACCAAACTTACTCAGAAGGATGATGCAAGCAGGTACTGAATTTCTGGAGGGAAAATGCTGTAAATTAATACAAAATCAGGATGCTCTGAAATACTAAATCTCTATTTTCCTCAAATAGAAAGAGAAACATATTTTGCATATCAGACCCACATCAAAATAGAACTCAACTACTTTCAAAGTTATATTCTTAGACCAGTTTCTTTGCCTATTTCCCAAGCAGGGCTCACTTAATCCTAGGTGTATTACTCAGAGACAAAAGGAACTAGCCTTCAGGAGCAGTGTTTGTGTCCTCTTGAAATTAAAGAAACAAATAAAAAAGTGCCCCTAAAAAAACTCAACTGCTGCAATCACGTAAAATTTAGGAAAGCCTTTCATACTATTTTATTGAATCTTAAAATCAGATAATATATTTCTTCAATGTACCAACAAAGGAGGAGAACCTCATTAAGGAATCCACGGTAAATGGAACATCCACAGCAAAAATAAATTAAGAAGCCGTGCTGCAACTACCAACGTAGCTAATTACGTCTCACCATTTTTAACTAATCTGACCCTACTTTATCTTTGTTCTGAATATGTATAACAGTTCAATAAAGGAAAAACAACACATTTATGTTTTATGACTAGTCATGCTGAAGAATATGCGCTTTGCTAATGTAGGGAATTGGATGAATGTACAACTTTTATGGGGGAAAACGATATTATAAAGCTTCATTCTCACAGCACGAGCTGGCCATGAGGTAGTGTTATATCATTAAACTTTCAGTTTCTGATCATTTGGATGAAATGATATCTCAAAGCTTTCACTGAAGCACCAATGCAAGAGTTTTAGCTTATACTTACAATGCATTTTTTAATTTTACATTATAAGAAACTTTGCTGGCTCATTTTCTCTCAATAAGTCTATGAAAAAACTTGGCCTTTGAAAGGTGAAGAGAGCTGCCCAATCATAGTCAGTGAAGTGTCAGAGCTGGAATTCCAACCCGGATCTTCTGATTTTAAGTCTAATATTCTCTCTACTATATAAATAATCATCAGGAGAGGCTCAACCACAGGAGTAATTTATATATTTTCCCCCTACTAAGAAGTTAGTATTATTGTCCTTTTTCAAGAACAAAGATTCTTTGAATAAAGGTAAGAATTGTTACCTATATATTGAAACATTCACAGACATGAATAAACACATTTTTGCACGCTGTTTAGAAGATAGCTTGTCTAAACAGAATTCAGTTCTTAACATTTTATTTATAAACACTAAAAACTGCTTTGTTATAAGAAAGACTTGCTAATTCTTTTTCACTGGCAAATTTAATATTTCTATCTTATATAGAGTAATGAGAGTGGATTCTGTAATTAAATAAAATATTTGAAAACATTTCTAAATTAGGATTATTCATAATGGGCCCACGGGCCACTTCCTATTGCCAACTGCCTTCTAGGAAGGAGAAAGTAACCACTGACTGGCTCTATTAGAGGAAGGGTCATCAGGAGTAAACCTTGAGACAACTCATTCTGATACTGCTAGTTCTCATAATTGGTCAGAAAGAAAACCTAAAGTGAAAAGAAAATTGCTTTACAATTAGTAACTTCAAACTGAATCTAAAAAGTGCTTGCCAACTGCTAGCATTTGACCAGCAGTGGACTTGGGAAGCTGGTGTGTGTGGCACTAGGGGACTCTCAACCTCCCCTAAAACTCAGAATCCATTTCCAGAATAAAAAAGTGACAGCTGAACATTGATAACTTTAAAGAATGTTTCCCCAAACCATGGAGATAGGAATTGACTGCCATAGAAAAAGAAATTTAAATTTAATTTCTGAAAACTAAAAGAAAAAGGAATTCATATGGTTATACGTATCATTATTTATTATAGACAAGAGTTTCTGGTAAATTGCCAGGGTTATTTTCTTAATAAATATATGCACCTGACAATATTTTCTGAATGTGTAGTCTGAGTGCACAAACTCACAAATTAAGTCCAGAAAAACACTAACATTTAGGTTCCAAAGGTCCAAAAAGATGTATTATTTAATATTGCTTTTTAGGTATTTCATTAACGAAATGTCAAAATATTCTTTATAAAGACTGCTATAAATTACCTCAATTTATAACTCAAGACATTAATTCTTCAAGTTAAAAATCCTCAGAAGTATTTTAATTTTAAAGTTTATGTAAGCATATAGTAGAAAGTTCAACTCTTAATATCTAACACATTCTATTCACAAACAAACAAAATACTATTTAATTTTCTAAATTGAAAGCTGATTTTATTTTATAGAAGGGCAAAAACATTCTTCCAGGAAACATCAAAAACATTTTTTTAGGTTTAAGAAGTACAAGTTTAAAAAATATATTGTAAAATTAACCCCTGAGCTGTGGTTTTATCCGCGAAGTTTTAAGCCGCAGTGCTTATAATCAACACCTTCTAAATCCTAAATAGACACTCTATGTACATTCCTCTTGCTATACTAGTTAGCCAGTGCGTTTTAAAGGTCAGATTAAAAAGGGCTTACCTCAAGACTCAGTAAGTTCTTTGCCGTTTGTTAGATTCTTCTCTTGGGGAATCCGCCAGCATAACTTTAAGTCTGACTCCATTCAGGATCTTTCCATGTAAAGTAGTAATGGCATCATTAGCGCTTATTCTATCTGCATACTTGGCATACCCCACATTTTTTCCTGACACAAGGTAAACTTCGATCAGGTTACCAAAACGACTGAAACAAAGTAAAAAAACCAGCTGAAATTGATAAACACAGCTGCTCAGGTCTAAAAATTGGGGTCCATTTTGGACTCCTTTTTCACCCCTCTCCTTACATCCAATCTCCAGTTTGTGTCAATCTTCCTTCTTAAACATCTCCTCAGTCAGTTTCTCTTCATCCTCACTCAGGTCTCTCCTCATTCAGACCATCACTCTTTCTTCCTTGATTCCTCTAATACCTTCTTCACTAGCTTCCCTGCCCTCTGGGCTCGTCCCTCTCCAATCTATCCTCTACCCTGTCTTCTGAGTGATCTTCCTGAAATACAAATATGATCTTCCTTCCTAAAATCCCTTCGGCAGCTCCTCAGGCCTCCAGGGTAAGGAGAAATTCCCTAACACAGGGCTTGCCGGCCTTTCTTGACAGGGTCCCTGTCCTCGCCAGCTTCAGCTCCCCTCATGGTTCCTCAAATTCCATATTCTAACCACCTCCTCTCACATTCTCGCTGGCAGGAATAACCACCCAAACTCCCAGCTTTCTTCCCAGGCTAAATGACTCTTATCCTTCAGGCCTTCACTATACCTTGCTTTTCTCAAGCAGTCTTCTCAGAGTTTCTACGGGAGGTGCCCCCCCTATGTATTTCATAGCTTGAACATTCCTTTCACAACATCAGTCTTGCTAGGCTGTAACTCCTATTTACTTGTCTGTCTGCTGCATGAGATTAGCTCTAAGAGGACAAGGACCATTACGTCTTGTTTACACAATGTCTCTTGCCCTTAGCAAAATGACTGCCCGGCACAGAGGAGAGATTCAAGAAAGAAACTAAATGAATTAGTTAAATAAAAGTCAAAATACTTGAACCACATCCCTGATATTTTGTGCAGCTCTTTAACAAGCTTCCTATCTATCTTTTTAGTTCACTAACATTGTTGTAAGGCAAATAGGAAAAAGATCAAAAAGAAAAAGTTAAGGTTAAAGGAGTTATATTAAAAACAAAGAAATAAACAAGAACCTTCTCCTTTTACACTTATATACTCTTCCCTACAATCAAGTAGTAATTGTTGTAATTACTGTCATGCATCGCTTAACAACAGGACATGTTCTGAGAAATGTGTCGTTAGATGATTTTGCTGCTGTGGGAAGACTGTAAGTGTTTACTTACACAAATGTAGATGGTATAGCTTACACATCTAGGCTATATGGACTAATCTTATGGGACCATCATCATGTATACGGTCCATCACTGACTGAAATGTTGTTTTGCAACACACAACTGTATATAATCCTTAAGGATCCAACAGAGTGCTAGCAAAATAGAAGATGCTTAGTAATCACTGTTCAGGTGAATTAAAATTACAAAGGAAAAGATATGTGAAAATAATTCTAGAGGACAGGTCTATATAGATCTATATTCTATCAAGAAACAAATGATTTGTCCATTCTATGCATGCAACTTTTCAACACCATACTACAGGACTTACGTTTTTCGAACAAAATAACAGGAAGTTCCGTGTAGAGACTTAGGATGTGTAAATAATAAAGAAGACAAGGAAATGATAATATATTTTAAAAGGTGATATGAATAAGGACTTTATTAAACCACAGTACAAATCATCTCTGATAGCTGATAGCTAGGGGATATACGAAGTTCCAAGATTGTGAGTGCTTAAATGACTGGCTTAAATAAATTATATTATAAAACATAACTTTGTGGAATAGAAATCTTACCAGAATATATCCTCCAATACATCTAAAGGTAAAGGATGAGGATTAAACACGATAAAAAGTCTTTCTTTCACAGGAGTTTCAGGAGGGGCTTTTTTTTTGCATGATGGAAGTACAACATCTGTCTGGATTTGAGGCAACTGTGATCCAGAACTTCCTCCAAATTGCTGTTGAAGAGTCAGGCACAAAATGAGAAAAGGAAAAGCTGCACTTTAGAGATGTTTAAGGCAAGAACTAAAGAGATGCGTATCATTGCATCTATGTGGTGTTTTACTATAGCTCTGAAAATTTGCTTACATAGGAAACAAACAAAGGCCACATTTATTTTATATGCTATTGACGTATTGTGAGGGTTGAATTCTTACCTACTTACCAGAAATTGCTGCTGACTTGGGTTATTCCACACCATTGACGCAAGCTGTGCAGCTACCATCTGCGTTGCCATTTTTCTAAGGAGACTGGAGATAAGAACTAATAATTTACAGAAAACTAGAAACATTCAATCTCTTAAGAAGTCACCTGTTTGTGTGACTTCCTCACGTGAGAGGTCAATTTTTTTCTATTTTCATTCTTTAAGTCATATCACGTACATCCAAAGGTCGGCTTTGGCCCCTCCTGGAACGGTACTTACTCTGTTGCGTTACTCCCATCATCAATGAAGGAAACACCTATCCGATTTCCAGGGGGGTACTGAAATCCATGTAACTTGTATTTTGCATAAATAGCTGATGCTACATTAAAATACTGAACCACTCCATGACCTAAAACAAAGGAGAGAATATACAGGAATTAAAAAGAAAGCAGACTGAATACCTAAAGCCTGTGTTGCCACAAAAATGAAACAATATAGAAATACCCTAATATCACACAACTAGTAAATACAGAATCAAACATGTTAGGAAACAAAGTTTTTTTACATGTGTGCAACAGCTGTGCTCCTACAAGCAAAGTATAAACCATATTATGGTGAAAACACGAACACTATATTTTAAGGAAAACGGAATCATAAGTTCTGTCCAATGAATTTAATTTTAGGAAACTGGCTTTTCTCATATGAAGAGATACCTAAAAACCAAGTAGTTTTTCTTAAATTTTGATTCTTTGAAATCTACTTTGAAATTCTAAAATTTTCCCTATCATACTGAGTAGGAAATGAAATGAGAAGTGATATATGAAAAGAATACATAGTCATCTTGGCTAGCTGCAGTGGTAGAGAGAGGAAAAGTCATATGCATGAAAAAAAGACAAAAGGTTGCAAACAGAGGGTCTCAGATCAGAAGTCATATTTCACATTCCTTTGCAGAGCTTCCAGCTAAGGGGATAGATTTCAAATCAGGTGGGTGGGGCTGAAGGGGGGGATAATTTTATACTGGAGTCCTTATATGGAGAGCGCAGGAGCTTGTAACACAACCAAAAGACAATACAACACAATCATAATTATATATTATGTATATATTTATAATATAACCCACTTTGGGGAAAACACTGTTATAGTTTAACGTTCCTCTCTAAACCCACACTTTCCAACATTTTAATGTAATTAAAAAAAAGTCAGAAAGTAAACAAACATATAAAATTCATATAATTTTTGCATATATGATTCAATAGGATTCTAACTATACGGTGATACTTCCATTAATAAAAACATGTTCCAATGACACACATATTTATCAAACAAATCCAACCAGAGAAACAATACAGAAGGTAAAGGAACAAATAAATTTCAACATACCAGATAAAAGGGAAAGAAAACACAAAACAAATAGAATTATATATAAATATAACAAATGTGCCAGAAAATACAAAACGTGTGCCTTTGCGTGAGACCAAAGAATGATAGTGTAAGATTGGTTAAGGTTGGAGATGGTCCAAAGTAGGTTCACACGGGCAGTCTTGCTTAAAAGAGCAGCACTGAGCAGGGTAATATTAAATATGTGGGGGATCTGTGTGAAGGGTGGGGGCACTCCAGGCCTGTCAGCCCATATTACCTGACTCACTTCTCTACTTTCCCTCAACATCCTTGACACCCTAAAAGGACTAAGTCAAGTATATCTTGGAAGAAATGCCAAGTATGATTTCTCTATACCACCCCTCACCTCCAATTCTTTACAACAAACCAACCAACTCAGATTTATTGAGAGCCTATTATGTGCCAAGACTTACATCAGGTATTTTACATATATTGTTTCTAATTCTTATCTAACCCTGGCATAGACAGCATTAAGTATCTCAGTTTACAGACGAGGAAAGAGAGGCTTAGAGAAGATAAGCAATTTGCCAACATCTCAGAGATACGTGCCACCGCTGGGGTTTGCACCTAAGTCTACTGCAAAATGGAAGGAATGTCAACCTTTTTCATTATGCTACAATGACTCCATTTTAAAAAAACACCTTAAAAAAATCAAAAGGCTTAAAAAAAATACAAAGACAGGGGCCGGCTCCGTGGCTGAGTGGTTAAGTTCACGCGCTCCGCTGTGGCGGCCGAGGGTTCGGATCCTGGGCGTGGACATGGCACCGCTCATCAGGCCACATTGAGGCGGCGTCCCATATCCCACAACTAGAAGGACCTGCAACTAAGATATACAACTGTGTACGGGGGGGTTTGGGGAAATAAAGCAGAAAAAACAAAAAAGATTGGCAACAGTTGTTAGCCCAGGTGCCAATCTTTAAAAAAAAAAAAGAATACAAAGATGGATTAAGCTAACACTAGATAATAAGTTTAATCAATTAACTAGTTAACAAGTTCAAATGGCTGATATTAGAGTCTTGCTTCTATTAAGAGTGGGACTAAGTAGAGAGAGAAGTGGAGCAATTAGATGCTTGACATGAAGGGAAGGAGTGTCATTTCGAGGGATAAAGTTCAAGAAAAAGAGATTAGGGCTGAGGAGGAAACTTTAAGGGTTTTATAACTTTGCCTAGCATTAATCAAGAGTACAGAGAAAGACTCTATTCTGAGGTATTTTTGTTGTACAACTGGAAACAGAGAATGCTCCATTTTGTGGGAATTAAAATATTTCTAAAAAATAAATGACTATAGAAGAGACATATTCCTTGGGGTTTATTTATTAAGGTATCACTGTATTTGAAAGTTTAAAGTAGAGAAAAGGAAACAAAACCATCACACAAACGGTATCTGATGTAAAAAGTGCCACTAGAGAAAAGCATTTTAACAAACTACAGTATATTCAAAAATAATATAAAGATTATTTTACCATAATTAGAATAAGGATCTCGCTGAACCTCACAATATTCCAATCCTGGTACTATATCAAAAATGCTGAAAAGCTGCTCTTCAGTGAAAGGAACTCTTGACACCACTGACAGGCGTTTGGAGATGGCTTCCTGGCCTCTGTTGTCATTCTTGTCAAAACTTGAAAAATCAGATTGTTGTTCTTCAACAATATAAAAAAAAGTAAATCTTTAAATTTCTATACATTCAAGAATTCACTTAACAATTTTAGGTCCTGGATAATAAAATGAACTGTCATTAAGTCCACTGCACTGAGCAAAGGCACTGTACTTTGTAGGATGCTCTCGGTCATCAGCACTAGCAGAAGTGACCAGTGATGAGAAAACAAACAACTCTCCCCACTCCCCTACCTCCACCACAGAAATATAAGCAGAAATGTGTAATCTACCTTCACAGGAATACGTTTAGTATGCAAAACTGCAAAATCTGCCTAGTGTTTCACCTAAAAGAAAGTTTATGCCAAATAACTTTCCCAGGCCTTACTTTCATCATTCACTTTCCCCTTTTTCTAGTTTCTACTTTTGTCATTCCTCTCCTTTCTAGCCTTAATTTTAAAGCAATAGTAGTTTAGGGAGAAAATTCTAGTACTCATCCTGAGGGGACATCTGTCCTTCTCTTTCATACTTTTTGGTCAGCTGCATAGAGGCAGCAGCTCACCCAAAAAAGTGGCAGTGATGTGGTCTAATAACTAGATAATGCATAACTAAGCATAGAAAACTATCATTGGAAATAAGTTAAACAAAATAAGTGTTAAATATTAAGGACATGAGGAGTCATGACCAACTTCTTAAAAATAAACCCCACTACATTATGACTTTTATTCACGAAATGAGATTTACAGACTGCTGATACAAGAATATTTAAAAAAAAATCAGATTGCATATACTACTTCTACTATTAAGTATAGGCAGCCCACTTACCAAATGGAAACATATTTACTCTAGGTTCATGTCCCAAAGTCTCTTGCCTCATGTTACTATAATAATCTTGTTCTGAGGATTCAGATGCTTTATTTTTAGGTTCAGCCAAGATAGCCCTAAAACCTGAAAAAGAGAATCCATGAATTTCAAGTTTCATAGCAAATTTAACATACCTATAAATATACTGGATTGCTAGTGCTTTACTTAGCTTTATAAATATAATTGTAGAAAAAAAAGTCTACACAATGGCCCTCTCCACCAAACCTCCTTCTCTGCTTTTTGGAAGACAGCAAAGAGTAAATGAGAAACAGCAAGAATCCCAAATTATGGGTCAACGTAGACATGAAAGATCAGCTCTTCTATGCTATTGTTTCAAATCTCCCCCTGCCACAGATGACATCATCATTCATTCTCCCTGTCTCCTCAACCCCAGAATCCTATAAGCCTTCTTCACATTCAACCTGCCATCAAGATGCTTCCTGTGAAATACACTTAGAAGACTTTATCTTTCACTCAAACTTCCCTGCCTCTGTTTTTAAGTTAGATCCTCTTCAATTAATTACAAAAACCCTTCAACTGGTCTCTTTTCCTCTGGATCAAAGGTTTTAATTAGGGGCCCAAGGAAGAGCTTCAAAAGGTAAGAAGGCTCCACAAACCCTCTAAAACTTTAAACAAAATGTTTAGGCATATGCGCATAGGGGCATATTTCAAGGGAGACGTTTCATAGCTTTCATCGTATTATTCAGTGGCTCCCAAAAGAATACAAGTAGCCACTTTGAATTCATTCTCTGGAAACGCATCCTTGATACTGTGGTTAGACCAACAGACAGTTGGTCCTGAAACAGTTTTTATTTCTTTTCTCCTTTTAAAACAATCTACGAGGGAATCCTAACATAGACTAAGCTGGAACTCTTCATAAGCTCCCATATATGGTTCCAATGTACCTAGTCAACTTTGTCTCGTAATTTCTCAACAGGAATATTATGCTTTCCTCAGACTGTTGCCTTCACAGTATTAAGCAAAGACATGGTTATTCGTAGCTCTGTGTCTCTGCTAACACTGCTGTCACCTTCTGTCCTGCCTACTCTACACCACATGCAAAGCCTACCTCCAGATGCGTTCCCATGCTCATTTGGAGCACTTGTTTTTCACCATTGATAGACTATACCACACTCTTTTGAAAATTTTCTCATTTGGAAAATTTTTACTGAGTCTACTATAAACTGCACTATCTTTGACAGAGAGCTCAAGAAATCTTTTTGAGGACCTATTACTCTACTAGGTACTTGGGTGACAAAAACAGACAAGTAAGACATACTCCTTGCTTTCAAAGAGCCTTTAAAAAAATCCTCTATTATTTTCTGGCTATTTTTTGCCTATTAGATCTTGGCTACCCAATATAGCTATAAATTCCTTAAATGCTGGGGCTGCTATAAGTTCCATTTGTATCCCTTTACTTAACATATTGATAAGTACACCACAGCTACCCAATTAATACTGACTGAGAAATTGAGAAGGATCTGAGAGTAAATTTGGGTGTGTACCTTAGAGATATCTAAGAATTCTACTGATTAACCATAATTCTTTCTAGTATATAGATTTTTATAATATCCTGAAACCCACTAACTTAATTATTCCCATCTCATCTCTAACGGTCAATATAAATAGAAGCATGACAACAAAGAATATTTTCCCTGGCTTCTTTAAAATTCCTATTCTTCATTATGTATACCAGTAACAATTAATGTTACTCTAGTTGAAATTAACCCAACGTCTATTTACTTACCTATGTTAGTGAACCTTATAAATGCTATGTTTATTAGTGTACTCAATTTTATTTAGGGTTTAGGTCAAATATGAACAAATATTACAGAAAATTTGAGTTTTTTTAATATAAAGAATATTTAAAAGAAAAAAAAAAAACCGTGAAAAGGTATGTCAACTTTTTAATATGTAAAACTCTAAATTACTTTAAAAAACCCAAAAACCTATAGAAATAATAACCAAAATATGGCCACAGCATTTTCATTTACGAAGTTAATGCAGTTGCTCATATTTCTCTTCAAGATAATGCCTCAATGAAACCTCAATCACGGCCCCAAAATAATTTTCATCCTCGGACTATATATATTTAAACTCTCATTGCTAAGAGTAAATTAGCATGTATGGTTATTACCGAAAACCAAGATTAGATTCAGTTATTTAGAATAATTAGAATTTTTTAAAAAGTCTTTAACAAAGTTAAATGAACACATCCTTACTTCGATCACAATTTTCTATTGCTTGGGCAGCTTGTGATGGTTTTAAGTATCGAACATAGCCCAAACCTTTACTTTCTCCAGTGACTTTATTCTTAATAATGCTGCAATACTCGATATCTCCATACACCTATGAGAGTTAAAAGAAATGATCTTAGAGGAGTCAAAATTAATAATTGAACAGACTATTTCAGAACTAACCTAAAATTTGTTTATTTGTGCTTCTTGCTCGCAAAAAAGAAATTAGAAACAGACTTCACAGCCATTTTTAATAATGGAATCAAAATGTCACAAACTAACGAGGCACTACAAAAACAACCATAATAATGATATAACCAAATAATAATGTAACTAAAATAATGATCATTTTTATCTACTGAGCATTTGCTTTACATATATTATCTTTTTGTTACAACAATCCTTCAAGGATATATATATATATATATATATATATATATATATATATATATATATTACACTGTGTATTTCACAGAAAAGAAGCTGGGCCTTAAAGAAATCAAATAATTTGTCAAAGTCATGGAGAGACAGTAAGAATTTGTGCATGGTCTGGAAAGCTCAACATTTTGCTAAGTAGTGGTTAAGAGCAGAGGCTCTGGAATTGAACCTTCTAGATTCAAATCTTGGCTCAGCCACTTATTAACTGGGCAGTTTAGTTATCCTGTGTGCCTGTCTCCTTATCTGTGAAATGGGGCTACTAGTTGTACCTACCTCATGGGGTTGTTTTAAGGGTTAAACGAACTAATATACCTTAAGTGCTCACAGAGGGTCTGAGACATACTAAACACTCAGTAAATGTTAGCTATAATTATTTGTCTGTCTCCTAAAAGGAGCAGAAGTGAATGTGCATTCTTTTGAAGGAGAGCCTCTCAAAGTATATCTCTAAAACACACTGGTTCACTCACAAAGTTAATACTCTGTGAGAAATACGTGATAAATATTTGCTTTTAATGTTGGAAGAATTATGGGATGTAAATTCTCAGTATTTATAATTTATGTTATAAAATTCTCATGTAACCAATTAGCAACTTAATTACTATGTATTTAGATAAAAATGTCCTATTTGTTCATTCAGAAAAAGAAAAATTTATAAATACAGAAGGTAAAAACTTTTTCTTATTATTGGAGAAAGTAAGGAATATATATTTTTGGTATTTGTTATTCTTCAAGTATTTAATTCAACTCTCAATTGAGGTAGGACAGAGGGAGCTTGAAAATTACTTTTTACTATTTGTTTCTTTTCTTTCCTGTTTGCTGCTTATCTGATTCATACTACTGGGAAGATTAGTAGGAAAAGGATGAAAAATTACAACTCAAAACAATTTAAAAATTGCTTTTTAAAAATTTTGTGAAAGTATATCACTACATATAAAAGTCAATGGCTAAAAAGAGATTTAAAATTGTCTCCAAATTTCATTGACTATAAGCTTACTATAGTTCAGAGCTGCAGTTAGTTTTTTCCTTAAATAGAACTCCTTCAGAGGCCTAATATGAGGACAAAAATCCTATGAAGGATAAGCCTTTCTGTGAATAAGCACAACATCAACATGCCACAGGCTTGTAACAAATGCTGGATAACACAGTCCACACCCTCAGGCTTGCCTGATTCATCTCTACATGAGAGGCAATAGAGAGGAGTGGTAAAAAGGTGCTTTGAAATTTTAAGGACCAAAAGCAGGCTCTGCATTCAGACAGCCTGGGTTTAAATATTGGCTCCATCACCACTAGGTATGTGACATTACTCAAAACTCTGAGCTTTATACGTCATTTTTCTGAATCTGTATTTTCATTATATGGGGGGGGGGGGAACCATCATTAATATTTTCCAGTTTTTACATATTCTTTAAAAAGTTAATTTATTCTAGGTTTAATATTTAAAAACTAGAAATAGATGACTTAAAAATAGTTATTTAATTCTCCACCACCAATCTAATGATCTAACTCAAAGAACACAAGATTTAGTAACTATACAAATGACTTAGGATTATAAGTTATCACAGATGCTAGTTGATTGGAAAATGTAAGTACCTTAAATTTTTCCCGCAGATCTTCTTCCGTGTAGGACTTTGGTATCATAACAAATATTCTTGTAAGTTCTTCATCTTCAACATCTCGGTGACTTCCAGATGATCTGGACTGAGCAATGAAAACCTAAGAAACAAGCAAAACCCCAAAAATAATGTGAAAAAGTCAACTGTTTTCCTATTCCTTAAGTATTTACTTCCTTATTAGAATGAGATTCGTATTAGGTTAAATGCAATACAATAGGGTCCCATCAAAAAGTTTTTTTAAGCAACCTTTATTGCAGTGACTTTTTATATGAGGGTATACCAACCTCTGTGGTGAGTTTTTTCCAAATGTATTTTTACTTTTGCATTTTTGTTTACCAAGAGCAACAGCCAGTGCACCGAAAAAGAATGTGTACTCTGCAGTTGTTGGGTAGAATATTCAATAAATGTCAATTATATAGCTGATTAGTAGTGTTATTACAACGTTACATATCTTTACTGATTTTGTCTACTTGTTCTATCAGATACTAAGAGAGGAGTGTAACAATCTGATTGTGAATTTATCTTTTTCCTTTGAGTTCTACAAATAACACTTCATGTATTTTAAGCTCTATTATCGGCTGCATAAACATTGTTATGTACCTTTTTTTTTTTTTTTTTTTGCTGAGGAAGATTAGCCCTGAGCTAACATCTGTGCCAATCTTCCTCTATTTTATATGTGGGTCACTGCCACAGCATGGCTGATGAGTGGTCTAGGCCTGTGCCCGAGATCTGAACCTGTGGACCCAGGCCACCAAAGTGGAGTGCACCAAAGCCAACCACTAGGCCATGGGGCCAGCCTGTTACATATTTTTTGACTGATATTTTTATTCTTATGAAATTACCCTATCTCTATTAATACTCCTCATGTTTAAGATCATTTTTTCTGATACCACACGAGTTTTTCCTATCCATTTACTTTCGACTACTTTGTCTCTTTATGCTTAAAGCATGTCTCTTGTAAAGAGTGTTTAGTTTGGTCTTTTGGTTTTTTAAAATCCTGACACTCTCCATCTTTTAATTGGAGTGTTTAGTCCATATATGTTTAAAGTAATTAATGATACAGTTAGGTTTAAGTCTAGACGGTCATATTTTTCATTGTTTTCTTTCTAATATCAATCTTTTCAAAAAGGTAACGTAACCGTATTCTGGATGATCTCAGTGAGCAGTCACAGGATTTATGTGAGCAAGAGAACACAAAGGATGACTTGAGGCTCTATTTTCCTACTATTAGCAATTTTCATTGAAACATCATCTGTGACATTAGATTATTACTTGGAATTTAATTTGTAATATTCTTTTTATTTAATTTGCAAAATTGTTTTGGTTATATATTATTCCAGAAGAATGTTTAAATCTCTAACTAGGATTATGGATTTGTTTACAGAATTCTAAGCACAAGAATTTTAATGGATAGTTTTATTTTTTTATAACTTGAAGAAATGTAATAAAATTAATATAAATCATCACACAGGGTCCTTGAGGGTTTTTTCCTTCTTCTTCTTTCTTTCTTTTTTTTTATATGATGAGTGAAAGCTGTTATGTCCTCTGTAGGTACTGTGCATCATCTGGATCTCAGGTCCCTGCCACTCTCTCTAGCAGTGTGTATCTGATTTTTTCCCTTCTGGCTGACTTTATATATATATGTATTTTTGGGGGAAGATTAGCCCTGAGCTAACATCTGCTGCCAATCCTCCTCTTTCTGCTGAGGAAGACTGGCCCTGAGCTAACATCTGTGCCCATCTTCCTCTACTTTTATACGTGGGATGCCTGCCACAGCATGGCTTGCCAAGCGGTGCCATGTCCGCACCCGGGATCCAAACCGGTGAACCCTAGGCTGCCAAAGCGGAACGTGCACACTTAACCGCTGTGCCACTGGGCCGGTCCCTCTTTATTTATTTTTAAAGACTGGCACTTGTGCTAACCATCTGTTGCCAATATTTTCTTTGTTTTTCTTCTCCCCAAAGCCCCCCAGTAGATAGTTGTATATTCTAGTTGTTGGTCCTTGCAGTTCTGCTATGTGGGATGCCACCTCAGCATGGCCTGATGAGCAGTGCTAGGTCTGTACCCAGGATCCAAAGCAGTGAAACCTTGGGCTGCTGAAGCAGAGCATGTGAACTTAACCACTTGGCCACGGGGCCAGCCTCTCTTCTTCTTTTTTAAAGGGGGGCTGTATACCATTCAAGAATGAGAAAATCTGGATCTATGGAATTCCAGAGTAGGAGGCAGCAACCAAAAGACGCAGAACTTCTAAAGCCATGGGATTTTAGAAATATTGAAAAAAAAGGTCGTTACGTTTGCTTGGAAAGCAGCTTGGAAAACCCCACCCCCACAGCCCAAAGATTCTTCCCCAAGGTGTAGGACCTTGCTTATAAGATACAGCTGGTGACATATCCCTCGATAGAGTCTATTTCTGGTTATTCCTTCAATAAACCTACATTCTTTGCCAAGCACTATATGAGCTATTAGTAATAGCGTATTGAGTAACACAGAAATGGTCCACTACAAAGTTAGTCCAGGGGCCAGCCCAATGGCGTAGTGGTTAAGTTTGCACACTCTGCTTCGGTGGCCTGGGGTTTGCCACTTCAGATCCCGGGTGTAGACCTAAGCACCACTTATCAAGTCATGCTGTGGCAGGCGTCCCACATATAAAGTAGAAGAAGATGGGCCTGCATGTTAGCTCAGGGCCAATCTTCCTCAGCAAAAAGAGGAGGATTGGCAGTGGATGTTAGCTCAGGGTTAATGTTCCTCAAAAAAAAAAAAAAAAGAATAAAGTTAGTCTAGTGGATGTATCAGTAATGAATGGTCAATAGGGAAGTACAAATATGGAGCCTTTAAGTATATGGGAAGACACCAGGGGAAAAAAGAGTCTCAAGTAAGATTTGAGATTGCAGGTGCCATCAGATCACAAATTTCTAAATTTTAGAAAACGGAACATTTCAAACTTCTGATAAAGGAGACAGTATCTAAGTAGAACAGATGTATAATAATTAACCACCTAATAGGTGATTTCTCCTGAGATTTTATGCTCACAGACTACGGGCTCTAAATAAGAGGCAGTCTTACAAAACTAAAAACCAAGATTTTTCTCTTCTGGTTTCCACGTTTACTCCTTACCTCCAGATAATGTAGCTGGTCAGAATGACTCCTACTTGAAAAATCTTTTCTGGCTGTAGGCCTGGTGCTATAATTTTCTTATTCATTTTAAGGATCCCTTGGAACTTTGCAAAAGCAAAGTATATGAGAAAAACTGAAACTGAATTAACTTAGAAATACTGAAAAAAAACATATTCCAGTGGAAGACAGCCCAAACTGAAGCTGATGAAGAATGAACTTAGACTGTCTAACTAGGCACTGTAGTGCAACAACCTCTGGCTGAAGCTGAGTGGAGAAAAAGGTGAAAAAGAGAATTTAAACTTTAATAAGGAATAATTTAATTTCTCTGTGGCTACAAGAGAGGGTACCTTTCAGTGTCGGGACTTTTATTTCTCTTGTAGGAATTTAATCCAGGGAAAGGGGGGGCCTATAAGTTTTAAATTTAGGGCATATTTTTGGGTTGCCTACAAGATCTCTGTGGTTATATTAAACTCGAAGTATAAAAACTGTCTCTGCTAAGATCGTAACTGCAAAGAGATAATTATCAATCTGGTCAAGAGTCAGCAAACTATAGTTTCCTGCTTTTCTAGAGCCTATGATTTAAGAATTGTTTTTACATTTTTAAAGGGCTATTAAAAACAAAAAATATGGGGGCTAGCCCGGTGGCGCAGTGGTTAAGTTCACACATTCCACTTCGGTGACCACACCAGTGGTTCACCGGTTCAGATCCTGGGTGCTGACCTACTCACCACTTGACAGGCCATCCTGTGGCAGGCGTCCCACATATAAAGTGGAGGAAGATGGGCACAGATGTTAGCTTAGGGCCAGTCTTCCTCAGCAAAAAGAGGAGGATTGGTGGCAGATATTAGCTCAGGGTTAATCTTCCTCAAAAAGAGAAAAAAGAGCAAAAAAGAAAAAAAACCCCAAAAATATGTGACAGAGACCCTATGTGGCTCACAAAGCCTAAAATATTTACTATCTGGCCCTTTACAGAAAAAGTTTGCCAACCCCTGATCTAGTATATGCTGTGGCCTTCTAAGTAATTTGATTGATGATCTGTTCGGACCCATTTCAGAGGGCTGGGGAGGTGGGAGCAGCGGGAGTGTCTACTGCCTTCTGTGTTGGTATATTCCCAGGCTCCTTCTCTTTTGTGAATGGAGGTACAGGGAAGACCTCCAGAGACTGAAATATCTGACTCTTGCACTTACACCAGTCCACATTAATAATGTTCTTCTCAGTTTTCTGTAGTAAACGGGAAAAAATGAAAAAAAAGTTGAGGGAAGAGAGAATTTTGTGGAAAGCTCCAACAGAATTACATATACAGCAACTTTTCTACAGGACAGTGAAGACTACAATTTGTGCAACTGCCAGATTCTCAGGAATGGGTTCTGAACTGAGTCCACAGCAAGTAAGGAATGACATCTTGACTGCTATTGACAAACAATGATATGCTGAGGGCTTACCTGTGCCAGGCACTGTACTCAAAGCATAGAGTAAATCAAATCACCTCGAAATCACCCTTCCTGCCATGTGTCAGTTACCTTACTTTTACAGACAAGTAAGTGCAGAAACTTAAAAACACCGCCAGGTTGAACTAAGAGTACACAAAGAAGCATTTAATAACAACATAACTACATTACCATGACAATGATTTGGCTCTTCTTAAAGCAGTTTACTTTGGTCTGCTTTCAAAGAAAAGTGGCAGTAACAAAACATGCTATTAATACCTTCACAAAGAGGCCTTATTTTAAAAACCACAGAAGTACAATATACAATAGGAGCAGTTTTAATCACACGCAGCTAAATACTATATACACGCATACTTCTGTCTGGGACTGGGAAAATGCCCAACACCAGAGGGCCAGAGCTTAATGTACTTTTATCAAGTTGCTAAAGCCCCAGACCTGCCTGAGGAAAGCCGAGTCATCTGTTTTGATACATCGTAATCCGGGGGTGTGAGAGAGGAGGGCCAGAGAAGTCCTCCACGCAGGCCAGGGCCAGAGCCAGGCCGTGGAATCCCGAGGTCCGGATTCGTGACAGCGGGAGCGGGGAGGCCCAGCCACTGCAGCTCTGCAGCCCGAGTCGCCGCAGCTGCCCGGTCCGACCCGGGGGCGGATGTAGCGCCCGCATCCCGCAAACCCCGCACCCCGGCGCAGCCTCGCGGGCTGGGGCCCTGAGGAAGCCTCTCTCCATGCCATCCTCCCCTAGGAATGCCAGGTGCTGCCAGCCCGCTCCCGGGAGCGGACGTACTACCCCTACCCCACCCTGACACAGCTTCGGGTGAAGGGGACCCATCCCTCCCCGACACCGCCCCCGCGGGCACCCCGACCGGCACCCGCACCTTGATGGGTTTGGTGTCGTTAGGGCTGAGGCACTGGCCGTGCATCTCCTCCATGGCCCTGCAGGCCTGCGAGCTGCGAGCGAACTTGACAAAGGCGATGCCCTTGGACTCCTTCGTGTGTTTGTCCCGCACCACCCAGATGTCCTGGATCTCCCCGAAGGGCGAGAAGCGTTCCCTCAGCACCGACTCCGGCGTGTATTTGCTGATCACCAGGAAGATGCGGCTGTTGGGCGGCTCGTCCAGGCTGTCCACGCCCGGGCGGAAGCCTCCGCCGCTCGCGCAGCTGCCTGCCTCGTCCATGGCGCTCCACCCCGGCGCGGGAGCCGGGCCCGGGTCTCCTTCCGTCCTCCTCGCTTCCGCCGTGCCCGCCACTGCAGCTGTCGCACGCTCAGCCGTTGCGGGTCCGGCGCTCCGCTTCCGGAAGACGGAAGAGTGTGGCGCCCGCTGCTGTCCGGCCGCAGCGTGCCGGCTTCCGGGGAGCGGCCTGCAGCGCCCCCCAGCGGCCCGGGGGAGCCTGACCCCGCGCAGGCCTCCAATCCCAGGCGTCAGGGATGCCGTCGTCCTTCCCACCGTCAGAAGAGCCCCGTCTGGTGCACAGACTTTCCCAACGATGGCCTTACCCCACCCCCACAGCCCAAAGATTATTCCCCAAAACTTGCCATTTTGGTCATAAGCTTAATAGAAGACCACTGTAGGAGAGAGTTAAAACTATATAGACTTGGAGCTGGAAGGAATCTTTGAGGTAATCCAATTCCAGCCTCATCTGTTGAGATGTGGAAATTGAGACCCATGGAATAGCCAAAGGTAATAGAGAAACAAGTAACAGAGCCAAAACCAGAACCAGCTTCGAATGCTGATTTACTGTACTCCGAAAGCACCTCTGGGGGTTGGAGGGCTGAAATGGTGGCTTGCTCAGCCGTGGAACTAGGAGAAATTCTAAGGTGCAAGCAAAGTGGGAAATCTGTACTGACTTCCAAGGCTTCTTCATAAGCCTTAGAGGAAAGGCCAGCAGAAAACTAGCAGAAATCCAGAAACAAGGCCTGGATTTAGCAATGGCATTGAAATGAAATGAAAGGAATAAACCAGAAAGTGGTCCAAGAGCAGAGCTCCTTAAACGTTCAAGGCCAGGCTGCTAAGACCTGTGTTGCTATGAAATCAAACAGATAAATATTATTTATCATGCGCCAACTATGTGCCAGGCTCTGTGCAAGGAGCTAGACATACCATGGGGAACAGGAAGGACATGATCCCTGCCCTCAGAGAGCTTTTGTTCTGTTGTGGAAATCTTACATATAAATACATAACGCAAAGTAATGTCAGATTGTGTTAAACAGTATTGCCACTGAATTCTATGAGCTTGGACAAGTTACTTCATATTTCCAACTTCAGTTTCCTCAACTGTAAAGTAGAAATAATATTACCTACTAAATGGTGTACTCGTCAAGCTTAACTAATTAATTCATCCATTTATCTAAGCAACAAATGTTTTCGACTGTTTACTATGTGTTGGGCACTGTACTATATTCAATTGATATAGTATTAAACAAAATGGTTACTCTCCTTCCCTCATGAAGTTAATAGTTTGGTCTTGTCTGGTTAGGATTGTGTGAGATAATCTATATGGAGCTAATAGCTTAGAGATCATATGAGATAATATGTGTAGAATGGCACAATAGAGATTAACTTTCTTGCTCTCTTTGACTATGGTGTCCACTCTGTCACCATTGATGTTGTATAGTTGCATGATGGCAGCTGAGAGTCAGAGATTCTGGGTTTTTACCTTGACTTTAGCACAAGGTTGTGACAATTTCCCCTTGCATTATATTCCACATCTGTAAAATGAGGGCTCTGTTTACCCTGGAGCTTAGCAAGTCAATGAAGAATTTTATCTTAACTTTCCAGTTCTCTTTACCTTATCCAGGCCAATCAAGATGAATGAAAATAATGTGGTAATGTAACAATTTTATTGATGTGAGGAAGTGCAAAGATCGTAGCAATACTACTTGCACCCTAGTGCCATCTAGTGGAAAATGTGCAATTTTCTTAAACTGCACTGACTGGGCAATTTCTATTTGTAAAACATTACTACTGACTTGGTATCCTGAAAATTTTAGGCTGATATTCAGAGCTGTTACTTTTGTTTTTTTTCTTAGAGAAGGGGTACAAGATTGCATAAAACAAAACCAGGAACATAAATCTTTCGAAATGCTAGGAAAGCAAAATTTCCTTACTACTCAATCATGTGAAATACAACATATTCAAGGAAAATAAGAAACTTACTTATAAATTACTAAAATACAGTAAGTATATTTTTATTCATATGACATCTATTTATTTTAAACAGCTTTTTGAGATCTAATTCATATGTCATACAATTTATCCATTTAAAGTGTTAAGTTAAATGGTTTTTAGTATGTTCACAGCATTGGATAACCATTGCTACAATCAATTTTAGAACATTTTCGTCAATAATGACAGATTTGTCATATTTCAAATCATATAATATCATATGTGAACATGAATCACATATAACTAAAACAGCTGAAAATTCTGAAGTTTGAGAGAATGATTATTCATTGGTCTTATATTACAGAAAAGATGTTCTGGGCATTTGAAGATTAAAATTTTTCAAGGTCTTTAAAACATGTAGCCTATAATGCACAATTATTAGAGTGATAAACACGTATTTATTTCACATGAAATTCAGATTTCCCTTGAAATTTTTTCTTCCAAAATTCTTATGAATTTCTTTTTAAAAAATAAGAGATGATATTGTGACTTAGTTTTGAAATGCAAGAAGAAGTTAGTAAATTCTTGTTTGTTTTCCAGAAAGTCTTGAATTATGATGTAATTACAATAAGGCTTACTGGTCATTGATATTAGTCTTCATACATTATGTTTAATTAAGTAAAAACGTTTTGCCCTATTTGCAAATTTTTAATAGATTTTACCACTGATATTTATTAGTGATCAATTATTACCTTTCATATTGTTCTGTAGGAATATGATCCAGAGTCTCCATTTTTCCCATCTGTAAGGCTACTGGCTACTGATAATGTATGCAAGCAACTAGCCTGGCCTGTGGTAGGCACTCAAGAAATGATAGTCTCCTTTTACTTGAGTTTGCATGTCTTCATTTGAGTTTGAGGATAATATTTAACTCCTGACTTCTTTCTCCCAGTAGACCTGGTCCTTTTGATTCAATTTGATGACGTACATCTTTTAAATATGTAGATCACAGGACAGAAGTCACAGGTATCAGTTAGAATAGTTTCATCCAACCATTGGGTAGTTGTGGTTATTTAAATTAAAATAAAATTAATGAAAATTAACTATAATGAACATTATTAAAAATTCAGTTAGTCGCATAGCCAAATTTCAAGTGTTTAAAAGCTGCTTGCAGCTAGTAGGCAGCCCTCATGAAGAACATTTCCAACATGGCAGAAAGGTTTATTGGACAGCGCTTTAGAGAACAAGAATATCGGGTAAACCTCCCACTTACCTAATTCGTAGAATTTTCACGATCATTTTCCCAAGTACCTTGATTGTTGAGCAATTTAAAAAATTATCTTAATCTTCCTATTTCTCTGTCACAGCCCTACCACTCACGTCTCAGTGAGTATGTGACCACGGGTAGGCTCCTTTCCCTTCCCATGTTTTCGTAAACACAACTTCAACTTTCTCACTTGTCTGCCTTTGGGGTACCTTCATTTCCTTGTACCTTTCTCAGTCCTTCCCTCCATATCTCCCTCCCTTGCCCCTTCAGAACTCATTCTCTCTCCATTTCTATCCATACTCCATTCTGCTCTTTTGGCAGTTAGCAAGCAGCTTTGCAACCTTGCTGTCAGTTCTGGCATTATTGTATTTTTATGTAGCTCATTTATAATGATTTAACTTTTAATATATTTAAATCTTGCTCTAGCTGGATTGTAACTCATAGAAAATCGGGGCTCCGGTTTGGTGTTTGTATTTCCAAGTTGCTTGTCACAGTGCCCTGCCCATAGCGACTCTCGTTTTATTCTTTTGTTGACGTGATTTCATTCTTGTGATCAAATGCTAATGGACCATTCATAAATGTCGAGTTCCTATTTCAAGCAAGAACTGGTACATACTGTAAATAGACATAGATAATTGAACTCTTTGGTTAGGTAGAAGTTAAACAAACGAAAAAAGTGCCAGGCTTGGGACTGTTGCGCTCGAAAGACATTCATTCACTTTGCCACATTTAGACAGTCAGCGACAGCACAGCAGGCGCAAGGCTTTAAGGCCCTGCGAGAGTTGCGATCCCGCGGGATCTGGGGGCCAATCAGTTGCGCGGATGGAGCCCGGCCTGCTGTTGCCCAGCGTGCACCGGAAGCACATGTCTGGTTGGACCTCAGTGCCGGTGTTTGAGGCTCTGCTGCGGAATTGCCAGCCTTGAGTTTGGGGCGCAGGCTCTGCCCGGCAGCGGCCCCGGTGACTGCCAAGGGTTACCCTGGGAGGCAGAGGGCAGAGCCGCTGGCCCAGGGGTAGGTGTGAGATTGGCTGTGAGGGAGCGGGCCAGGCACTGATTATGAGCCAATGCAGTTTGGGCCTGGGTCCACCCAGAGAGGTGTATCCAGCCATCCTGCTCCCTGCTCGTCAGAGGCTTGCCCTAGCGTCGGCCTGGTGGGACCCAGGTGTCCTTAAGTGCAACAGAAGACTTTTCTAGCGAGGGGCCTCTGCAGCCTTTCTGAATTCTGGGTGGGACTGATTTTGAGTAGAGCCTTCCGCCCACGGTTGGCAGAAGTCGACTCAAAATGGAGGTGGTGGCATTCAAGAGCCCAGATTGGGTGTTTGGAAAGGTGGATCGTCATTCCTGTTCGGAGGTTCAGTGACAGCTGATTACAAGGGAGAGAGGCCGTAGACGCCTGAGTGTGTGTGTGTATGTGTGGGGGACGGCAGGGGCGGGGATCACAGACGTGAAGCGATTTACCCAGGATCCCACCTTTGTGATGCATCCCACTTTAGTACTTTTTCCACTACAACACGCAGAATCCCACTTAATCATTTTGAGTCTGTGTAGTATTCACCCTTAAAATATTCTAGTGAGCTTACCCTCCTTCATCACTTCAATTTTGTGGGTTTTGTAAATTTTGAAAGCTTTATTGGTGCCTTGATTGTTCTTAACACAGTCATCTTTTTACGGTTAAAGTGAGATATGGCAATGGTATGTACCAGTAGCAGAAAGTGTTTCACTTCCTCCTCTTTAATCACTCTCGCTCAGTTAAGCATGCGCAGTGTGTCAGACCTGGTGTTCAACCTAGGGTTGCTTAGATCACTCTTAAAAGGGAATTGTTAAAATTCAACTGCAAGGATTATACATTTAATATTGCTCTTCCGTTCACCTTTCGCCATTTCTCTCCACTTCTCATCAACTCGTGACTTTAAACAAGCTACTTAATCTCCCTCATCTGTAAAAATAGAGATATTAATGGTATCTGTCTCACTGGGCTGGTGTGAGGATTAAATGCATTAAAAATATATAAAGAGCTTAGACTTATGCCTGGCACATAGTAAGCCATGTATACGTGTTTGCTACTGTCACCCTGTCTATTTACCGTTAGAATTACTTCATTCTCTGGTGAGTCATCATTATCATACCAGATGTCACATCTTTGCCTATTTTTAGTGAGGTATTTCTTCTTAATTACTAAATACCAGTAGAGAGTGCCAAATGATTATAAGACAAAATGAATTCTCTTGACATCCTTTCTGATCTTCCTGCCTCCCTTGCTGCCACTGCTGAATCTATTGGTTTAAATGCAATTTGAAGAGGGTCGTTGGAATTGCAGGTATTGCACAGCAGTGATTAAAGATGGCAGCGGTGAATGTTTTAATTATGATAAATACTGGTAGTTTGAACAGTGGTAATGGAAATTTTCTCATAAGTGACTTGCATGTGAAATCTATATAAATAAAGAGAATGTTAGTTTTTTCTTTTTTTAAAAAAAGTCTCGGGGCTGGCCCCGTGGCCGAGTGTTTAAGTTCTCGTGCTCTGCTGCAGGTGGCCCAGTGTTTTGTTGGTTCGAATCCTGGGCGCGGACATGGCACTGCTCGTCAAACCACCCTGAGGCAGCATCCCACATACCACAACTAGAAGGACCCACAATGAAGAATATACAACTATATACCGGAGGGGCTTTGGGGAGAAAAAGGAAAAAATAAAATCTTTAAAAAAAGTCTCATTTTCTGAATTACCAGTAACATTTAATTGGTATAAAAATCAATCCGATCTTTCTGCTTTATATAAAATTGGAAATAAGGATTCTTTAGTTAGTACTGAGATGACATTTTGTTTTTGTATGATACCAAATTTATAGTTACAGTGAATGTATTTTGCTAAAAGGCTGTAAATTTGTTTTTCTGACTAAAGTTTTTCTCTCTATGACTCCTGGTTCAAAGACTCAATGGATTCTGTATCTAAATAGAGAATTGGTTGAACTCATATAGTTAGAAATTGAATGCAGTGTTTTGAGTGAAGTTTGGAATTTTAACGTAAGCTTCTCTTGGATAAAGTGAATTTTCTTACTCCACTTTTTGTTGGACCTAAAACATTGATTAACAGCTTATTTGTTTTGGATACTGCCCAAAGAAAACTTCTATCTTTCCTTTAGGTGGACTATTGACACTGTTTTGGGTTTCCACATAGATTTAAAGAAATTAGGAAGAGCAGTATATTTTACTGTATGTGAAGTACTGGCCTCTCTTTGAGTAATAGCTAACTTTAGTTAAACAATACTGTACTTTTCAGTACTGTCAGAATAAAATAAACATTTTCTAGTTTTCAGTAGAATTGTAAAGGTAAAAAAATGTGCATAGAACTGTACTGTCAAAGAATTAGGTATTTTCATGATTTCTATAACAGTGACTTTTATGTTGAAATCCATCCCCACTCCCACCTCCCCAGCACCCATTCTTCAAGAAACACAAAGAGCAGGCAGACTGAAACCCAGCTACTGCATTCATTAGCATTTCAAACTACATTTTTTTCAATAAGTTGAAATTATTTTAATTTTTACATCATTTTGGATGGAGGAGCATTTATTTAATTATGTAACAGTTTTTGGCAGTCAAAATATCTTTGTATGAAATTTATTGTATATATCTATCACCATATAATAAAACCTTTCCTACTTAAAATCGTGTATTTTCCACTACATTGGTATTAAACACGTAATGCCTGCCACAGCATGGCTCGCCAAGTGTTGCTACGTCTGCACCCGGGATCTGAACCGGCAAACCCTGGGCTGCTGAAGTGGAATGTGCGAACTTTGCTGCACCATTGGGCTGGCCCCTGTGTGGTTTTTAATTTTATAGTTCTGTCTATTATTGTAGGCATATAAATACTCATAATAAATATCATATTTAAGCACCTTTTCATTTTGTTCTATTCTTATTTTTAAGTAAGGGGATATCAAGTTAGACCTATGTGTTTCATGTCATTTTTTGCATATGCACTTTTTGGAAGTGAAAAGAAAAAATGGAATATGATTGACCTAGATAAGTTACTGTAATTGTTTGAGGGCTGAAGTAAAACAAGGCTTATACCAATAGCAGTTTCTGAAGCAGCTAAAGCTAAAAATTGAAAATAAACCTGATAAATGAGATGATTAAGTCTTCGTAAAATTGGATGCTATGTTCATGTTTTTGAGCACTCAGACGTTAAAGCATGTGTGCTTTAAATTATGTTTTTGTTTGATATCATTAGTATTAATTTCAAACTGATGGAATTCCTTTTTTCCCAGCTTTGTAAATCTGATATTTTCTTTGGTCTGTGGTTTAATGTTTCATTGCAGAACAAAATGGGAGATGCTGAAGCAGGCAAGAAGATCTTTATTCAAAAATGTGCTCAGTGCCACACAGTGGAAAAAGGTGGAAAACACAAGACAGGTCCAAATCTCTGGGGCCTTTTTGGCCGAAAAACAGGACAAGCACCAGGATTTTCTTACTCTGATGCAAACAAAAACAAAGGTAAAAATTAGGCAGTTATGGGAGAGAACCAGAAACTTTGTAGCAAAGAAGAAAGCGCATGATTTAATATTATAATAATTTCCGAATTTGCAGCATTAAAATGAAATCCGCATGTTTATATTACTGAAATATTGATTTATATCATAAGATCTACGTTTGGATAACTGTTCATCTTTTTGATCAGAGGAATTAGCAATTCTCTGTGGCATAGGTTTTTGCCTGTACAAGGTATTTGATTTTATGCAGTACATGTATGTTGAAAAAGCATGATCTAAATTAAAAAAAAATCACATCATATTGTAGTGGCATAATGGTAGTTTTCTATTTGTGGTAGTGATTCTTCGGAGTGTAGGGGGACTGCTATATAGTTTGAAACAGTATATTCAGTGATTTCTTTGTTGGTGGAAAGTGGATAGATGGCAGTTAAAGTGAGAGCATTTTAGGGTTGAAATTAAAAATGGTTGGAAAAGACTGTAATATCTTTGCAAAGCAATTTATTCCTCCTGGATATGCATATACATACACATACATACATCCATATGTGTATATCATTAGGATTCACTTCAAAAATAGGGTACAACTCTAAAATAGAGTGCAACTCTATTTTGAACTGTTCTTGGGGCCTAACATTTCTTACAGGCCCAAATTTCAGATCACTACTACACTGCTTTTTGGAAAGGTTATTTTATTTTATCTTATTTTTTATTTCTTTTTATTCCTTTTATTGAGGTGAAATTCACGTAACATACAATTAGCCATTTTAAAGTGTGTAATTCAGTAACATTTAGTGCATTCACAGTGGTGTATGATCACCACCTCTCTGTAGTTTCAAAACATCTTAATTATCCCATTAGAATCCCTGTACCCATGAAGTAATCACTCTGCATTTCCTCCTATCTCTAGCCCCTGGCAACCACTAAACTGCTTCCTGTCTATGGATTTGCCTATTCTGTATATTTCGTATAAAAAGAGTCATATAATATATGACCTTTTGTGTCTGGCTTTTTTCACTTAGCATAATGTTTTCAAGGTTCATTGAAGTTGTAGCATCTATCAGTATTTCATTTCTTTTTTATGGCCAAATAGTATTCCCTCGTATGTGTATATCACAATTTGTTTATCCATTCATTAGTTTATGGACATTTGGATTGTTTCCACCTATTGCCTTTTGTTAGTAGTGCTGCTATGAATATTTCTGAATAACTGTTTGTTTGAGCCCCTGTTTCTTAGTTCTTTTGGATATATATTTAGGAGTGGAATTGCTGGATCATTTGTTAAATTTTTGAGGAAAAGTCAAACTGTTTTCCGTAGCAGCTGTACCATTTTACATTCCTATCAACAATGTAGAAAGATTCCTATTTCTCTATTTCCTCACCAACACTTGTTCTTTTCTCTTCTTTTTAAAAATTTGTATCTTAGTGGGTGTGAGGTGATATCTCATAATTTTGCTTGTATTTACTTCATGAACTGTGATTTTGAACATCTTTTCATGTGCTTGTTGGCCATTTTGATAATTTCTTTGGAAAAATGTCTATTCATGTTCTCTGCCCATTTTTTAGTGTGGTTGTTTTGTCTTTTTGTTGTTGAATTGTAAGAGTTCTTTATGTATTCTGGATACTGAATGCTTATCACGTATGTGATTTGCAAATATTTTCTCCTATTCTATAGATTGTCTTCCTTTTCTTGATAATGTCCTTTGAGGCACAGAAGTTTTTAGTTTGTGTGAAGTCCATTTATCTATTTTTGTTGTTGATGTTGCTTGTGCTTTTGGTGTCAAATCTAAGAATTAATTGCCAAATCTGAGGTCATAAAGATTTACCCTTATCCTTTCTTCTAATAGTTTTATAGTTTTGGCTCTCATATTTAGGTCCTTGACCCATTTTAAATTAATTTTTGTATAGAGTGAGGTAACAGTCTGGTGTCATTCTTTGCATGTGGTTATCCAGTTGTCATAGCACCATTTTTTGAAGAGACCATTCTTTCCCAGTTGAATAGTCTTGACACTCTTGTTGAAAATCAGGGCCCACCTGGTGGCACAGAGGTTAAGTTTGCACATTCTGCTTCTCAGTGGCCTGGGGTCCGCAGGTTTGGATCCTGGGTGCAGACATGGCACCACTTGGCAAAAGCCATGCTGTGGTAGGTGTCCCACATATAAAATAGAGGAAGATGGGCATGGATGTTAGCTCAGGGCCAGTCTTCCTCAGCAAAAAGAGGAGGATTGGCAGTAGTTAGCTCAGATCTAATCTTCCTCAAAAAAAAAAAAAAAAAAGAAAATCAATTGGCCATATATGTTGCAGTTTACTTCTGGACTTTCAGTTCTATTCCATTGGTTTCTATGTTTATCCTTATACCACTACCACGCTGTTTTAATTACTGTAGCTTTGTAGTGAATTTTGAAATTGGGAAGTGTGAGCCTTCCAACTTTGTTTTTATTTTCCAGTATTGTTTTGGCTATCCAGGGTCTTTTGCAATTCCATGAATTTGAAGATCAGTTTTTCCATTTCTGCAAAACACGCCTTTGGAATTTTGATAGAGATTGCATTCTATCTATAGATTGCTTTGGGGAGTATGCCATCTTAACAATATTAACTTTCCAATCTATGAACATGGGATGCCCTTCCATATTATTTAGGTCTTTAATTTCTGTCAGCAATGTTTTCTAATTTTCAGTGTACGAATCTTTTACCTCCTTGGTTAAATTTATTCCTAAGTATTTTATTCTTTTAGATATTATTATAAATAGAATTGGTTTTTTTTTCCTTTTTGGATTGTTCATTGCTTGTGTATAGGAGCATAAATGATCTTTGTATGTTGATCTTATACCCTGCAACTTTGCTGAATTGATTTATTTTCTGTAGTAGATTTTTTTGGTGGATTCTTTGGGATTTTCTGTATATAGAATCATGTCATCCATGAATAGAGATAGTTTTACTTCTTTCTTTCCAAGTTGGATGGCTCTTACTTCTTATTTCCCCCTAATTGCTTTGGCTAGGACTTCCAGTTGAATTCTGAATAGTCCTGGTGAAAGCGAGCATCTTTGTCTTATACTTGATCTTAGGGAGAAAGCTTTCAGCTTTTCACCTTGAGTATGATGTTAGCTGTGGGTTTTCTGTAAATCCCCTTTTTCAGGTTAAGCACTTTCCCTTTTATTCCTAGTTTGCTGAGTGTTTTTATCATGAAAGAATATTGGACTTTGTCAAATGCTTTTTCTGCATTTATTGAGATGATCGTATTTTTTTTTCTTTCTATTAATCTGGTGTATTACATTGATTGATTTTCTTGTGTTGAACCACCCTTGCATTCCTAGGATAAATCCCACTTGGTCATGGTGTGAAATTCTTCTAATGTGCTGTTGGAGTTAGCTTGCCAGTATATTGTTGAGGAGTTTTGCATTTGTAGTTATAAGAGATAGTGGTTTCTAGTTTTCTTGTGGCTTTGGTGTTTGGAGAAGTTTTAAATATAGATAAATGGAAGCTGTAAGTCCTCTTCATATGTGATTTGAATTTAGTATTTTCAGACTTTGTAATGCGTCTTATAGTGCTTGTATAGACTATAATATACCTTATTGGATTGAGCTTTGCAGACCATGTTGTAGGAGAAGGGCTTTAATAGGGAAGTTGTCATCTGGTGCACTAGTTTTTTGAGTACACATATAATAGCTTATACTTTGTCAAAGGAGGGATTCTGCTTATTTTAATCTGTGTTAATGTTTCTAAGAAGATAGTGTTTTGGGTTGGTCTCAGCCTATCGATAGTGATGCTATTGGCTAATAATGCCTAGGGACACTCACCTGGGCCTGTACTACTTGTGGTGAGCTCCCACAGACCCTTCCCCCACTGAAGCCAGTGTTGTGGCTGGACTGGCCCTTGTGGTTCTTATTATGATTGCAAGACGCACCTCAACAACAACCATCAGGGAACTTTGAAAAGACAAAGTTTATTACTTACAAGTCCTGGAAGGTACATGGAGCCTGTGTTGCTGTGATTTTGCTGTATTTTGTAGATGTAATTAACATCTACAATCAGTCGACCTTGAATCAAAGGGGATTATCCTCAATAATCTGAGTGGACCTTGCCCAATCAGTTGAAAGACCGCAAGAGCAAAACTGAGATTTTCCTGAGGAAAAAGAAATTCTGTTTGTGAGACTGCAGCTTCAGCATCTGCCAGAGAGTTTCCAAGGGCCTGGGCAACATAGTGAGGTCTTAGGGAGAGAGAGAAAGAGAGAGGGAGAGAGTGTGCAAGCATGAGTCTGGGGTTCTGCTTTTATTGCGGTCAAGGGTGGGGTGCCTAGGATTTCACAGGTTCACTCTTTACTGGTGAATTTAAAACATAAAAGTGGAGATTAAAGCACAAGAAGGAAAAAGCAAATGATCAGTTTTCTAGGTCTACCAGAGCTTTCTTAAAAAAGGGAACTTCATGGGTGGGGCCACCTGGCTTTTTATCTAGTCAGGTATCTGGCAATGTGTTTATTTGAGATGGATGTCTTAGAAGTAGATGTCTTGGTAATCAAAAGCTTAATGTCAGGCACTTACATTGCAATCAAAAGGCTAATTGTCAGGTGTTTATACTGCAGATAGATAAGATATAATGAAATGTTTGTTATCTGGAATTTTGGGAAAAGGGACCTTGTGGATAGTCCAATGGTTTGGTTAAAACAAAATTAGCACATGTAGGGGTTGCCACCTCTTTTTGAAGATAAGATACTTTTCATTTTCCTGAAGCATTGAGAACAATACAGTTTAGTAGGATGAGAGGTGGCAAAGACCTTGGCCCCTAGACTTCTCTTGCGTTTCCAAGCAAACCAGGGTGGGGTAGGTGGGCAATATATAGTAAGTCTAACTGCTTTAGAGCACTACTAAAAGACCTTAGCATTTGAGGACTGTGTTAATTTCCTAGGGCTGCTGTAACAAAGTACCATAAAGTAGATGGCTTAAAATAGCAGAAATTTATGGTTTCACACTTCTAGAGGCTAGAAGTGCAAAATCAAGGTGTCAGCAGGG